ATGTTTTTATTTTGCATTGAGTGAAAGTTTACAGGGCACATCATCAGCTTCACATTCAACCATTCATATAGCTTGTTTCATTACATTGATTATTATCCCCACCATATATCATCAGTTTATAGTGTTTCTCTCTATCCTCATAACATTCTTTATGGAAGCACCTTACTCATGGATGTCACTGTTTATTTTATAAGCCAGTCTATTATTTGCCTGTAAAGTGATCTTTAATTTCATGTTCAACAGTTTCCTTGGGGGAGTAGCCCAGAGAGCTCTAGTCTCTGTCAGTCCAATAGGTAAGCTTTGTTACACATTTTACTTCCATTCTATTGTGCCCCTGGGCAGAAAGGTTGGTAGTGGTCACAGAGCATCATCTAGTTCTTTTGACTTAGATTCCAGGAGGCTGTGTCTTTTCTTTAAGTTTGAAATTTGGTAGTCTCTTGTTATTATTGAAATTAACCAACAATTAATGCTAATATTAAACAGAAGTATGCTCTGTAAGGATTTCTCATTTTACCAGTAGCTCATTTCATACTGCTTTTGAATATGGTGCTAGTTAAATTGTTGTGTGTTAAAACTGGTTTCACAAATAATTTCCCATATGAAAACTTGGCACAGGCCAAACCTGGTATGAAAAAAGGATAGTTAATATTATTGTTGTTAACCGCTAACCTTTCAGTCTAAACCAATCTTTCAGTCCAAGTGTTTGCCGAATAGCACCGCACCAGGACTCCAGTAGTTAAGAATAATATCTTATTATCTGTGAGATAGCAGTGGAATCCTTAGTAATGGGCAGGCTGAATCATTGTTTATTGATGGACATTCATTAAGTTTCTTAGTTAAGAAATGTCTAATATGAGATTTAAATATAGATCTGACTGGTTCCAAAATTCCTTTCACTGTATATGATACTGCTTCAATAGGATGGATAAGATTTGAATACATTTCAAAGTATGTACAATCTATTATGAATGATTATGTTAAAAATAATTAATATAAATTTATATTTTAAAAAGGATATGGAAAGAGCCACATTGTTTTTTTAAAAAACTGTTTTTATTGTATGTAATGAAAGTTTACAGAGCAATTTGGTTTTCATTCAAATTGCAAAGTTTATACACGTTTTATTTTTACATTGCTCTTAATATGTGTAAAATGTGACCGTACAAGAAGGCTTCAAAAAGTTCCTGAAAAAATATCCAGTATCTTTTAATTCCATTTGTCCATGTACTCCTCGAGGTCTGACTGCAGTTTGATGAATTTCTATGAAGTGTTTAACATTAACATTAGTACTTTGCTTCTTTTAAAAAAATAAATCAGTATAAAGGATTTCTGTCTAAGAATCCAACTCTAAAAATTGACTTAATTGAAGTTTGTAATCGTGTTTTTATCCAGCACAGGCAGTTTATGACAACATTATGGCAAGAGTTCTCCTGGTGTGATGCTGTAGCAAAAGCATTGGATTGCTAACCACAAGGTCTATAGTTCAAACCCAACAGCCACTCTTCGGAAATTCTGTACATGGTCTCTATGTACAAAACTGACTCGATGGCATTAAACAGCAATAATATGTTAAGAGTGTAATGCTGACATTTATGTTATTTTTCCAGCTCTAATTGTTTTCTTTTTGTTTCTTTTTCTTATAGAAAAAGATGGAAAAGCATTTCATCCAACTTATGAAGAAAAACTAAAACTCGTGGCACTGTACAAGCAGGTTCTTTTGGGTCCATATAATCCAGACACTTGCCCTGAGATTGGATTCTTTGATGTGTTGGGAAATGATAGGAGGTAACAATGCTTTGTTGTGTAATGAATGTAATGAGAATAATGCTGAAAGGAGTGTAAATAATTAGTTCATTAGCTTAGAATAATGACTGAAGTAAATATTTTTATTTGAAGCTTCTGGAATCATCAAAAGTTTCTTTTGTGCTTGGAAATGTTTATGATGAAGTATTTTAGAAGATGTTTACTCATCTGATTATGACCATAACACAAGTACAGCTTAATTTGAATCTTTCTAAATAATATTTAAAAACAACCTTTCAAAATAAATAGTAATTAATTCTGTTGGGTCAGAAGAGAAAAATAGTAATTGCCGTTGGTCTAGTTAAAGAGTTGTGACAAAAGAACACATTGAGTATTTTATTTAAGACTAAAATATACCATGAGGAAAATAGAGCTTTGATACCATTTTGCTACTAAAGGAATTATGAGGAATGAAGTTACAGGTGACTTTGTACTTTACAAAAATAAGCTTGGGTTTTATGTGGCATACTTCTAGTTTATTAAGTCTATGTGTTCATTTAAAAGCTTGAAGTTTTTAACTTTTTGCTTATTGTAGAATCAGATTCATTTTGGTTATAATTGATAAATATTCATTTAAATCAAATTCTTATTCTAGTAAGAAGGTTAGGTAACTTTCTTATTATTCTTCATAGGAGAGAATGGGCAGCCCTGGGAAACATGTCAAAAGAGGATGCCATGGTGGAGTTTGTCAAGCTCCTAAATAGATGTTGCCATCTCTTTTCAACATATGTTGCATCCCACAAAATAGAGAAAGAAGAACAAGAAAAAAAAAGGTGAAATTTAAGTGCACAGAATACTTTATCCCTATGCCACCCAACACACTCATGCATTTGCTCTATCGAGTGTCTTACTTCCCTTGGATCCTTACTTATAGCAATCGTTCAGACTTGATATGAGCAGATACTTACTAGTTTTGCTGGACAGTGCTGCTTCTCTCTGGCTCTATGTTTAAGAGGACTCACCCATTAATCCTGATAGCATTTCTTTTGCCTTACTACACTGATTTTTTGAGCAAGCTCTATTCATGAACTCCACCTCCGCTTCCTCTCTACCCTGCTGGGCTGACACAAGCAAACTCTCTTTAATGATAGCTCCCTTGAGCTTCTAGAGTATTCATGTGCCATTTCATGGTTATCAATTGTGCTACATGGTAGCCCTTATATAGGTAGGGTATTTGGCTCTGGCTCCCAGATAGCTTATTAATTATTCCCAGAGATTAGAGGCAAAGCTGATGAATATGCTATTTATGTTTATGGAATTCTCTGTCGTGATTGGGAATTCAGTAGAATTCTAGTAACGCCTTATTCATCTAGAGGTTATTTCTTCATAACTTTAACTATCTTAAACTTCTAAGTAACCAAAAAGATGCTGCAGAATCAGTTTTACCTCAGATCACCATATACTTATTCTGCTTCAAACTGTATTAGAAATAGCACATTAGAAGAGAAAATAGCCTAATAATGAGGGAGATGACAGGAATCAAAATAAATAAACACAAGAATTATAAAAGAATGGAAGTCACAAACTTCTATCTCCACCACTTTACATGACATTCTACAGCCTTGAGTACGGATTGCCCCTCCATATAAAGAAAAGAAAAATCATCACAGCTGAACAAACAAATAACATCCTGGTAAGTGGAGAAAAGATTGAAGTTGTCAGACTTCATTTTGCTTGTATCTACCTACCATCAACACTCATGGAAGTAGCAGAAATCAGATGACAAAGTTTCACTGGGAAAATCTACTGTACAACACTTCTTTAAAGTGTTCAAGAACGAAGGTATCAGTTTCAGGACTAAGGTGCACCTGGCCCAAGCCATGGTATTTTCAGTTGCCACTTAATGCATGTGAAAGTTGCACAGTGAATAAGGAATATCTGAGAAGAACGGAGGCATTTGAATTACGGTGTTGGACTGCCAGAAGAACAAACACATCTGTATTGGAAGAATACTTCTTAGAAACCAGGATGTTTACTGCTGTTTTAACATAAAAGAGACTGTTTTTCATACTTTGGACATGTTATAGGAGGAACCAATCACTAGAGTAAATCGTCATGTTTGGTAAAGTAGAGGATCAGTGAAAAAGAGAAGGACCCCCCAAGGAGATGGATTGACACATTGGCAGTAGCAATGGACTCAAGCATAACAACAGTGGTGAAAGATGTTGTAGGATTGGGCAGTGCTTCATTCTGTTGTACATAGGATTGATATGAGTTGAAACCAACTCAACAGCACCTAGCAACAACAATTGTAACCCTTGAGCCATCAAGAAAGAGACCATGAACTTATTTTTATTTACGGTATCAGGGAATAGTTTAATGTATTTTTATCCAAAGAAAAAACTTTTTCCCAAGGAAAATAGTTAAGTCTTGTAAGAATGGAATGACTTTAACTGGAAAATTGATTTTGTGCTTATAGTCCATTGTGTAATAATGTTTGATCAGTGAAGTTTAGCTATATGTCTTTGGAAGTGTATCTATGTTCCTTTTTAATTTCTTGTTTTAGTAATAAATATTCAGATTTCTCTTAAACATTATTAAAAGTTACTGCTTATTTTAACATAAAGAGTGGGTTTTAAAAAGTTCATGGAAAAATTCCATTTTTTTTTTCTTTTAAAGTTTTGAAACTGAGTGAAGATTTACAGATCATCAGTCCTACATTCAAGAAATCATACACTTTGTGTCATTACAATGACACATTACAATGCAGTCCCTCCCATGTACCATCAGTTAACAGTATTTACCTCTATTCACTTTAACTCTTACACTCCTCACCGTGTCTTTCACTGTCTTCATCTTTCTTGTGTCATCATCTCGCTTGTATTTTGCCTTCCCCATAGCCCAAGTTAACATGTATCTACCCTTTTTTTACACAGTGGATAATTTCCCTCTCCTCTCACCCCTAGTAACCATCATAGAATGTTTCTTTTATCAAGAAAACCTTTTAACTTTAACAACAGTGGTCTCATACAATATTGCCCTTTTTTGATTGACTAATTTCACTCAGCATAATGCCCTCCAGGTTCATCCATGTTATGAGGTGTTTCACAGATTTGTTGCTAGTCTTCAGTGTTGCATTGTATTCCATTGTATGTATGCTCCAAAGTTTAACCATACTTCTGCTGATGGTCAGTTAGGCTGTCTCCATCTTTTTGTTATTACCACTGTTATTCAAATTTACCCACCAACCACTAAAGCCAGTGAGGATGAAATAGAAGAATTCTACCAGCTTCTTCAATCTGAAATTGATCAAACATGCAATCAAGAATGCAAAGGGCAGCAAAGAAGGATCAATAGTTGGACAATATGGCCTTGGTGGTAGAAATGATGCTGGAAAACTGCAAAGCTGGGTCGCTATGGGTCGGCTCCGACTCGAAGGCACTTAACAACAACAACAATTGATTTGTTCATTTCAAATACCTTCTTTAGACAGCATAAGACATGACTGTTCACATGGACCTCACCGGATGGAATACATAGAAATCAAATTGACTACATCTGCAGAAATAGAGGATGGAAAAGCTCCATATCATCAATGAAAACAAGGCCAGAGGCAGATGTGGAACAGACCATCAATTACTCGTATGCAAATTCAAACTAAAGCTGAAGAAAATGAAAACAAGTCCACGAGAGCCAAAATATGACCTTGAACATATTCCACCTGAATTTAGAGATCATCTGAAGAACAGATTTGATACATTAAACACTAAAGACCAAAGACAAGAAGAGTTGTGGGATGACATCAAGAACATCATACATGAAGAAAGCAAAAAGTCATTAAAAAGACAAGAAAGAAGGAAAAGGTCAAAATGGATGTCAGAAGAGACACTGAAACTTGCTCTCCAGCATAGAAATGCTAAAGCAAATGGAAGAAATGAGGAGGTCCAAGAGCTGAACAGAAGATTTCAAAGATCATCTTGAGAAGATAAAGCCAAATATTACAATAAAAGGTTCAAGGATCTGGAATCAGAACACCAAAAAGGAAGAACACGCTCAGCGTTTCTCAAACTGGGAAACTGAAGAAAAATTCAAGCCTCGACTTTCATTATTGAAAGATTGTCTGAGCAAATTATTGAATGATGCAGAAAGCATAAAGAGAATACGGAAGGAATACAGAGAGTCACTGTATCAAAAGGCAATGGTTAATGTTCAACTGTTTTAAGAGGTAGCTTATGATCAAGAGCCAATGATACTGAAGGAGGAAGTCCAAGGTGCATTGAAGGAATTGGCAAGGAACAAGGCACCATGAATTGATGGAATAAAAATTGAAATCTTTCAAGAAAGTGAGGCAGCACAGGAGGCACTCACTCATCTCTGCCTAGAAATTTGAAAGACAGCTATCTGGACAACTGATTGGAAGAGATTAGTATTTGTCCCCATTTCAAAGAGAGGTGACCCAATGGAATGATAAAATCACCAGACAATCTGTCTGATATCCCATGCCAGTAAAGTTTTACTAAAGGTAATACAGAAACGGCTGCAAGCATACATTGATCGAGAACTTCAAGCCAGATTCAGAAGAGGCCGTGGAATGAGGGATATCATTGCTGATATCCGATGGATCTTGGCTGAAAGCGGAGAATATCAGAAAGATGTTTACTTGTGCTTTATTGACTACGCAGAGGCTTTCGATTGTGTGGATCATGACAAGCTGTGGACTACGTTGCGAAGTTTGAGTATTCCAGAACACTTAATTATGCTCATAAGGAGTCTGTACATGGGCCAAGAGAGGCAGTTGTTCGAACAGAACATGGGAACATTGAATATTTTAAAATTAAGAATGGTATGTATGCAACAAAGTTGTATTCTTTCGCCATACTTATTCAACCTGTTTGCTGAGCAAATAATCCGAGAAGCTGGGTTCTATGAAGAAAAACATGGCATCAGGATTGGAGGAGGACTCATTAACAATCTGTGATATGCAGATGATAACAACCTTGCTTGCTGAAAGTGAAGAGGACTTAAAACATTTACTGATGAAGATCAAAGAGCACAGCCTTCAATATGGATTACATACAAAACAACATTC